AGCCTGGGAGGGGGAGGGGCGCCCTGCTCGCGGGGGCCTCAGATCACCCTGTGTTTACCGTGGGGGCTGGGAGGCCGGTCCCGCTGAGAGCACTCTGCTGAGTCACGGAAAACAGGGCTTAACTGCGTCCCTGCCACCTCCTGTCATTTCTGACTCGGAGGGGGATCCTGTCCTCCCTCCCTGCGTATTTGCCTCAAGCGCCTTGTTTTCCTGATATTCTTCCTGTGGGCGGAGCAGAAGGGAAAAGGGTAGGCCGCAGGAAGAAGCCCAGGGATGGAACTCGGCTGAGACCAGTGTCCTGGGGACTTGTCCCCCACCCACCCCAGTCCCACTGGGCAGGTGCGTTAGGGGCACTGGGAGGCGCTGGCCGTCCTTGGCCAGGCTGACACCCCAGAGGTGAGGATGCTGGGTCCCCCGTGGGCATGCCTCATCCAGTCACGCGGCCTCTGGCTGCTGTGACAAATGCTGGGATCTCTGCTTAGAACACGGGAGCGAGGGACTCATGAGCTGACTGGGATAACCCAAAATGCTGAGGGTGACAGGTAAGGCCTCAGCCAAGGCTGCAGTCACCCTTGAGAAATGTTCATAACCAAGGAAGTCAGCACGGCTCTGCAGAAGGCGTCAGGTGGGCGGGCTCTGTGGGGTGTAAACTCTGGGAGACTCAGCCCACTCATGCATCACGCAGAAGAGGCCCACGGCCACTCCTCAGGGTCCTAGAGCCACGCGCCGCCAGTATCGAGGTTCGGGGCCTGCCCAGTTATAAGAGAAGGGGGTGCTGGAGTGACACTCGGCCCGGAGATGTGAGCAGCACGTTTGTGTTCTCCAAAGCTCCCACCACAAGCACAAAAGTTTGTAGTTGTGTGAGCTGACGGGCGTTCACAGACCTGGTGTGACCGTTTGACAAGCGCCAGGTCGTTGTGACGCAATGCAGTGGGCCGATTATGTCACAACGGAGACCCCGGGAAGGAGGACGTCACCCACCACGCTGCCTGCACAGCAGGGCCCTTGTGGCCGACTCTACCTGAGCCGTCTCAGGTGTATTAGAATCAGTAGTCGAACCAGTTTCCGTCACCCCCTGTCCACCTCAGGACTCATGTCTATGTGGGGAAGTGTTTTTCATCCTGGAAAGAAGAACGAGTGACTTTCCTGTCACTGGGTCGTCCCTCCGAGGTCTGCTGCGTGGGCCAGGCCCAGTGGCCACAGGACGCTGCCGGTTTTCTTGAGATTCCTTCCTCCTGACACCCTAGGAGAAGGTCGTAGCCCACAGGTCACTTCTGCACGTGGCTCATCTTAAGGGGGCGTATTTAAGGAGAGGGAAGGGCGGGGGAGGCCAGCATTCAGAGCTCCTCTGCAGGGCCTGCATGCCCAAAGCGGGCGCCAGCTTTCCGCGGGTGCAGACACAGCCAGCTCCCCCACACGGGGAGGGGAGCCCACCGCTGCAAGGTGACGTGCCAGCCCCAAGCTGCCCCGTGGGGGCGGGGGGCAAGGAGGAGGCAGAAGGGAAGGAAGCAGACGAGGTGAGAACCCCCGCAACACACCTCTGGCTCCGGGGTCCTGTTGAGAGGTGGGCTCCTGCCCTGGGTGTGGCCTGGCTTTCCTCTGCCGTTGGCCGTCGGCACCTGTGCTGAGTTGCCCAGGTGCGATCTCTCCGCTCGCCGGCCTGGGCGCTGCTGGCACCGCTGGTGACCCCTCCGTCTGCTGGTTTT